TATATAATTTGCATGAAATTGGAGGGAGATGAAGAGTGGGAAAGCAACATTGGCTTTATCATAAAGTCAGAATAAAATGACTGTTGGAGTCAGAAGTCTTACTCAATGGACAGTTTATGATGACAATATACATGTCTATCGTACCATAGTCTTTTAATCTTGTATATCCAACGTACGTCGGTGTTTTACATAATATATACGTGCTTTTCTATCATTGTACTACTTGTTTCTTCTTGTGTACATATATATTATTCACAACTCATCCATAGGTCACTAGATCCTTGATAGTTTGTCACTTTATCTGGCCGGAAGGCCTAAAGTATGCTAATTTTATTTGAAAAGTATGTTTTCTATGACCCTTCTATATACTTGTTGGACAAGAGTACGTGCCCTATATCAGGAAAAATAATAATTTTTAGTTTTAGTTTCTTTTTTTATGTATCATAGAAAACAGAGAACCCGAACAACTTGAATTCACATATGATGCTCAGTCGTAAATGATAATTAGACTGAATACACTTACGTTGATTGGATTAAAAATCCAAATCTTATTTCTTGTAATTAGTAAATATTGGGACAAACTCCTTGTTAGTCTTTCGTATCAATAAATATTGGGTTGGTTGTACAAAAAATAATAATCAAAGCATTTAATGTAATGTAGCATAGGATATAATATATAATGTCCTTTTTATGATTACATTTCTACTAAATATTTCAACTTATAAAAATATGCTAATTTATTTATTGTGAAATGAAGTAAATAAACCTCAAAATAGTAAATGCATAAAACTAACTGAGATTTGGGATTCAATTCATGTATGGATTTTTGTATATTAATTTAGGCTAATAAAAACAAAAAATAGTGTATTAAAAAACAAAACTCTAAGCCATTAATTAGTTTATTTATATTTATTGGGATCTGGTTTGGTCATACTCATACATGTCATGGTCATATCATAATGGTTTGTTTAATGGTATTTTTGTGTGTGTCTGTGTGTGTTTTGCAGGTGTCGAACTGGTTCATAAATGCAAGGGTCCGGTTGTGGAAACCCATGGTGGAGGAAATGTACCAACAAGAAAGCAAAGAAGAGGGTGAACATCACCCAGATGACGACGACGACGACCAAGATGAAGAAAATAAGTTAGAAACGAGCATTAATTACAATAATCAAAACAAAAATGGACCCCCATCATCTTCTTCCTCTTCTGCACTTGCACAAACTCCGATGCCACCACCTCCTCCTCCTCCTTCGACATACACCACCACTTCCACAGCGACACCTGCAAAAAGATCCGAAATCAATGACCCTGAAAACGACCCATCAGTGCTTGCAATCAATACACAAAATTGCTTCTCGGAAAACCAAGCTACTGCCATGTCCTACTCTTACACTCCTATCAATATCACCTCAACTACCACCGGAAACACTTCCACCACCCCACAATCTTTTCCGGTCACACTTGATGCTGATACATGCCGACGTGGCAGCATGCCAGCTGGCGATGATGCTACTGAGATTGGCTCAACACTTATAAGATTTGGGACCACTGCTGGTGACGTGTCACTCACTCTAGGGCTACGACACGCCGGAAACCTACCGGAGAAGACTTCTTTTTCAGTTAGAGACTTTGGTGGGTGTTAAATTATTACATGTCTATAAGGTACTTAGTAATTTAAAATAATTTTTTAGGCCATTATTATACCATGAAGCTCATAAAATTTCTTTCTTCTTTTTATTTTTATATTTTATTCAAGTAAAACACCAAAGATAAAATTTTACATCATAAAGGTTGTATTGTGTTGATAGAGCATTTTATTGGGGCCTAGTCTAATTGTATAGTACGTACCTTGTATATTTTCCTCTTATTTTGCTCATGTAATAAACTTCTACTCTTGGTTTTTCTTATTATATAAAATAATTATGCAAAAATCTATTTAAATTGGAATGTTATGTTATTTAAAAAGATACATGTATGTTGTCACATAATATTACAGGCAAAGATACACGTAACAGAACAAGAATCATCTCAACAAGCAAGATCAAGGATTAGCGACATACCGAAGTTGTTAAGATGTCTAAATCTAAGTTGCAATTTACTTAGAAAAAATATGAAAATTTAAGAAATTTTTTTATGGTTTCCATAATCTTAGTTGTCCTAATAATTAATCAGTGGTTGATCGGTCCTGATTCTGATACATGATTATGATATATACAAACGAAAGCAAGCTCGTGCAGACATTCGTTTATGCCCCATAATATGAGATTAAGTATTTGCAGTTTTTCTTATTTGCAGTTTTTCTTATGTGAATATGTCTTTCAAATATAAAGGGTATTTGTAATCTCATTGAATAAAGGGTTGCCATGATATTTTATTATAGGTAAGTGAAAATGACTTTCTTGAACCGAGAAGACCTCAAAATCCACCATTTTTGGTTAAGCGTTTACATCCTTTTGATGTTATCTTGATTCATATTTCAAAACAAATTGATTTTACTTGTTATCACTCTATTTTGATATAGTGTTCTTGTGATGTTCAATCTTACGTTAGTAAACTCAATTTCCTGAATCAAGAAAACAGCACCTGTTTGATTAAACCGAACCCTAACGCTTTGTCAAACAAGAAAAAGTAACTTTGTAGTTGCAAAGTAATAAAAGTTTCGACAATAAGGCAAAAATTTTAGATGCTTGTTGTGTAATGAGGATCAAGTTGACTTAAGACATTCATAACGCATTGAACTTCATGTATTGTATCAATATATTGCTACATTATCATTCTATATTACAAAAACTCTATTAATTTATTCCTACAATGCATTGAACTCTACAAAGTTTAATGAAACATATTTAAATATCTATTTAAGTATTTGAAAACGTTTTTTTTTTCAAATGCAAGTGTTCACTGACGATTAAACTTTAAATCAATTAAATATAGATATATCAATATGGTATCTCATAATGATTGAGTTTCATCCACGGAATAACAATAGGTTTGCCGAACTCATTCAACTTTCTCATCAAATACCTTAACTCTTTCCACTAAATTCATATAGAAGTGTGAAATGGACTTTGACCTAGTGGTACTAAGGTGTTTAAAAAAGTGTCATTCCCCTAAAATGCATAAGTCATGTTATGAAAAAAATATATATAGTTTAGGAGTAAAATTTAGTGGTTATATGCAATGTGTTTTCCATTTAAAAAAAATCATAATAAAAGTATATCACAAAATAGGTTGGGGATTAATGGTTATCTTTCGTTATTGGTGTTGCTTAAATGTCCTTAGGTTTGTTTTGGTGTTGCCTTTGGCTAGCTTTGTTTTGTTTTATTGGAAATACTTAAAAAAAAAAAGTACCACTTGATATAAGAAAATCAAATAAATTTTATAATTAAAATTGAATAAATATAAATAGGGAATAAACAAAAAATTGAGGTTAAATTAGCGAAGTTTGGCTTAACTGGTGCGCAATCGCCTTCGCAACTTTGTTAATAGCTTTCTGTCCATATAAAATGGGTTTCCATACTTTTGAAATGTTAATAGCTTTATGTCCATATAAAATGGGTTTCCAAATTAAACTTTTGAAGGATAACATGCTATGGTCGTTTGAAGTAAATTGCGACTCTTTCTACCCTTTTAACAATGTCCCATTTATCCATAAAAAAAGCTATAAAAAAACTCTACTATGTTCTCGATATGCTATCATGGATTGTTGGTCATCGGTCTATCGTGCTTTATATGTTGCCCTCTAGTTTGTTGCGATTTGTCTTTTAATAAAATTTCCTCAGTTAAAAAAAACATAGGTAAATCGTAAACATAGGTAAATCGTGTGGTGCCGGTGTTTTGTGCAATCACCTTCGAAACTTGTTAATGGCTTTTTGTCCATATAAAATGGATTTCCAAACTTCTGAAAGATCACATGTTATGGTGGTTTACTGGCTTGAAGTAAGTTGCTACTCTTTCTACCCTATTAACATTGTCCCACTTATCTATTAAAAAAACTCTACTAAGTTCTCGATATGTTGTGATGGATTGCTTGTCATTGGTCTATCGTGCTTTATATGTTGCCCTCTAGTTCGTTGCAAGTTCTTTTTTAATAAAATTTCCTTAGTTAAAAAATATATACGTAAATCGTGTGGTTCCAGGTTTTTTTTTTTTATTTTTATTTTTATTTTTATTTTTTTTATCAATCACATGATATAGTGATTTTTATTAGTCATTTGATTTAGATGATGATTATTGGTTAAGTGTAAAACTTCGAATGTTGGCTGTACATGTCAAAAACAAAATTGTTCTTACAAAAGACAATTGCTCATTTGTATTATATCTTCGATTTATTGGATATCATCAAGGAATTCTCCTCGTGAATTGACCAATGCGGGACACCAAAATTATATATTTAAACTAGGTTTAAATCCGTGGAAACCACAGTGTGAGAAAGAAAAACATTATTGATAATTTTAAATTATAATAATTAATCAAAGATTTTCTAAAATATTATTAATTTACAAAGATAGAAGTTTTTTCCTATACATTTATAATGATTACTTA